AGGCAGTAATATGGAAGTAATATCCATATTAATAGCCTAACAAGGCAGTAATATGGAAGTAATATCCATATTAATAGCCATAACAGGCAGTAATATGGAAGTAATATCCATATTAATAGCCATAACAGGCAGTAATATGGAAGTAATATCCATATTAATAGCCATAACAGGCAGTAATATGGAAGTAATATCCATATTAATAGCCATAACAGGCAGTAATATGGACGTAATATCCATATAATAGCCATAACAGTAATAGGCAGTAGCCTAACGGCAGAATATGGAAGTAATATCCATATTAATAGCCATAACAGGCAGTAATATGGAAGTAATATCCATATTAATAGCCCATAACAGGCAGTAATATGGAAGTAATATCCATATTAATAGCCATAACAGGCAGTAATATCTCCACGTAATATGGGTGTGTACAGCACATCATAGTCTGGGTGGGTGTTATCGCCTGCTGTTGCTGTTGTTTAAGATTTGCTACCTGGAACAAAAAGTTCCAAGCAGCACGGGCTATGGTGATCCCGTAGTGTATCGTCTGCTGATATTGTGGGAGTCGTGAACGAGACTCGTAAACAAAACATTGATCCCCTCAAAATGTTCTAAACATCCTGGAGTAACGTTTCCAAAACGTTAGTTATCAGAATTAGTATCCAGTTGGACTGAAAGTGCAGAGATGGCCTTCCTTCTTGCAGGTCTCCGTTCGATTCCCTGATGATCGAAATGGATAGGCACCTTCCCTTCACTCCATGTTCCTCTTTCAGCTGCTATCCTTTCCTCTAGAGCTATAGAGGCGTGTATACCAGCCTACCTCTTACTCCCTTCCCCCTAGCAGTGGTAAAAAAAAGACAGATTCCAAGTATTTTGCATAAAACTGCTCCAATAACCTTGACATAACGGTACCTGGCTTTGTCTCTACAGGCAACGACCTACTTGATACGGCGACCAACGACGGGTCACGTCTACCTTACAAAGGGGCCTCGCTTCCGCCAGCATCCTAAGCCCGTCTTGCCAGACTCCAGGATCCTCTCTAGGGCCGTCTACGGCATCCCTACACACCTTCCCTACAAGACCCTCCAACGCTACTGGTGAGAGGTCGCAGCGCCACGAAGGGGCAGATGCTGTAATGTGGACCAGGGGATGACGTGGAGAGGAGGCTCACGAGTGGTTCAGGAATAGGTGAATCTTGGGATAGAAAAGAGGTACAAATGGGGTGGATAGGATAGGATGAGGCGGAGGATAAAGGAGTAGGGAGAGAAAGAGGGTAATTGGTGATAGTATCAGTGGTATATATCGTCAGACTCAACACATGAAGATCCCTACCCGCCAAACACACACCGAAACTACGACGTTGGTACAACGTTCGAACAAGTTTTAACACCTCCTAACCAGTTATAACAACCAATATAGTAAGTTGTAACAACGTTCTAATACGTCATAAACACGTTAAGCCAAGATGTAACAACTTTATTACAAGTTGTAAAAAGCGGAAAATAGAGACAGTTTCGGTTTGTGTTTCCAGGGTAACTCTTCACGAGTATCAACACCATCCTTGCAATGATCACACACTTTTATATAATCCATATTGCAACAGTAAAAATAACAAATACCTCAAAAATACATGATGATCTACACATCAGGAATTGGGTAGGTAGTGCACATGTCTCCTCCGGAAGGGCCAGCGTGTAACTAGAGCATAATACAAATTCAATTATTATTTTTTTCCCTACACGTGAGAAAGAAAAGAAAACATGTAGAACAGGTAAGTAATTCTATGAGTGTTTGACTCATTTTTAACCCAGGACGGCGAGTCACTCTCCAGGCAGCCACTCGCCGCTTCCAGTTTCTAGTACGACAATTTTTGGCCGTATGTAACGCATTCGAGCGAAATGCGACATTCTTTATAGGAAAACAGGTTGATCCATCATCTTGTTTAGGATACACCTCGCTCATCATCCTCCCCCTCTCCCACTGGTTAGGATAATCCTCCTCCCCTGGTTAGGATAATCCTCCTCCCCTGGTTAAGATAATCTTCCTCCCCCATTTAAGATAATCGTCAACCACCTGATAATAAGAAATTAGTGTTCAATTTAACATTGTTTCCATCTTTTCCACCCTTTCTGTACTCACCTTTCCAGCGGTGTTTCCAGTCTTTCCAGTGGTGTGGCCTTGTCTCAGCTCCCGTCCTCTGGCTTAGCAAAGGTAAAACCTCTTTCTCTTGCCCACCCTTAAACCACTCTCCTCCTTCAAGATGCCTCCCTCTCTCCTCCTCAAGTCGTAGGGTCTATTTTATTTCAATTGTAAACGTTCGTTTATGTTTATTATTAATACAGATTTATCATTATTTTTCTAAAACATTATCAATCCCGTGTTTGTTTGTTTAGATTTTAATCATTGTGTTTGGATGTGTATTCTATAGTGCTCTTTGTGACTTATAAGTTGCATTTAAATCATTGTTTTTATTTGCTTGTGTAAAACAGAGGTAAATATTTTTTTCTTGCGTAAATATGACAGAATTTTCAGTCCACATTAAGGGTTTTTACTTCTAAGTTTTTTTATTTCCAATGTTTTAAGACTTTAAAATTTTATTTCCAATGTTTTAATACATTTAAAATTTTATTTCCAATGTTTTATTTCATTAAAATTTTATTTCCAATGTTTTATTATTTTAAAATTTTAAGTCATTGTCTCAACGTCAAATGTTTATATTTATATTTTAATCACAATTATACTAACAACATCTGATCGTTGTTGTGTGTGAGACACAAAATAATCACAATAATCACAAAAAAGTAATCATTTCTTAATTATTTTTGTTTACTTAGTTGCACAATATGATTTTTTTTTATTTGAAGTTTTGTAAATGAATTTAAAAAAAAAAATCTTAGATCTATTCATATTATTATTTAGATGTAATTTTTGGTCATTGGTGTGTAAAATATAGTTGAGCTTGTCATAAGGTGATCAACTTAGGCGAATAAAAGATGAGTAATGATGTTATAATTTTGTCTCCATTACCTTAATGTCTCTAATGGAGACACATTGCTCCATTAGACTCAAGTGAACGTTGAACTCCATTAGAGTCAAGACTCAAGACTCAACACAACACAGAGCGAAGTCTTAGTTATTCTCTCACCATTACAAAACTGGAATACACTCTAGGCTAATGCCCTCCAATAACGCCCTATAGCTCTGTAGAGGCGTCAAGTTCACTCACGATACAGTATAGGCGTTGTCCCTCTGGACCTCAACGCTGTGGCGCTGGCTCACCAAACTGGCTACATTTGTGCGTATAATTCGCCTAATGAGTTCCGGACACACTAATTTTTGTGTATAATTCTACTAATTCATCGACGAACACAAGTTTCCATTAACCCCAGAGGCGAAGGGCCTCTGATCTAACTACCATATAAACCGACAACAATAATACCACTCTAACGACGTTCAATCCTAAGCTACCACAACAAGCATCTAAGAGCCAATCACCGGCCTCTTTAAGACGGGGGTTGGAACCTCCTTCCGTAACCAGCCGGCCGGATCATTAGCGTCACGTCATCGAGGACCAGCCACCCATTGTTGAGCCATCGAATGGTCCGCTCGTTCCTGTCGGCGGAGCGCGGGAAGCTGGCGGTGAGGGACATTCTGTGACACCTCGAGTACCACCAGCCACCGCCGTTGGTGGCGGCACAGTTGCCGGCGGTCCAGTCGTCGTTGTCGCGGTCGTGGGTGCTGAAGGGCTGGCCGTGGTGATGGGTAGCGACGGGGTCGACCGTCACGTTGCCCGAGAACCCGTCCATGATGAGGCGGTAGTTACTGGACTCGTCCTCGACCCTGTAGAGTGTTTAATACGAGTGAGAGAGAGAGAGAGAGAGAGAGAGAGAGAGAGAGAGAGAGAGAGAGAGAGAGAGAGAGAGAGAGAGAGAGAGAGAGAGAGAGAGAGAGAGAGAGAGAGAGAGAGAGAGAGAGAGAGAGAGAGAGAGAGACAGAGAGAGAGAGAGAGGAGAGAGAGAGAGAGAGACAGAGAGAGAGAGAGAGAGAGAGAGAGAGAGAGAGAGAGAGAGAGAGAGAGAGAGAGAGAGAGAGAGAGAGAGAGAGAGAGAGAGAGAGAGAGAGAGTTAGTTTTGTACAGATAGAGTAAACCCGCCAAACACACACCGAAACTACGACGTTGTTACAACGTTCAAACAAGTTTTAACACCTCCTAACTAGTTTTAACAACCAATATAGCAGGTTGTGACAACGTTCTAATACGTCATAAACACGTTAAGCCAAGACGTAACAACTTTATTACAAGTTGTAACAAGCGGAAAACAGAGACAGTTTCGGTTTGTGTTTCCAGGGAAGGTGCCTCTTCCTCGTACTGAAGAGAAAGACGTATATAGTAGAGCTGCCTTAACTATACGGTAAAATACAAATAGCCAAACGATAACAGACTCAAGTGAACTATAGTACACTTGGAACACACAGATACCAAGCTTATATCTGCTGTCCACTATATCTAAACCTAGATCTGGTGCAGCTGAACCTGGAACAGGTGAACAGGATGGGAAACGAGTGTTCACATGAACAGATCAGTACCCTGGAAACACAAACCGAAACTGTCTCTATTTTCCGCTTGTTACAACTTGTAATAAAGTTGTTACATCTTGGCTTAACGTGTTTATGACGTATTAGAACGTTGTTACAACTTGCTATATTGGTTGTTATAACTGGTTAGGTGGTGTTAAAACTTGTTCGAACGTTGTACCAACGTCGTAGTTTCGGTGTGTGTTGGTGGGTAGTAACATCTGTATTTTAGAGATAAATAACCACCTAATGATGGTTTACAGGTCCTGCAGCCTGTTTAAGATAAGTGTACAAGTCCTAGACCCTACCTAAAAGAAGTGTACTGGTGCTGGAATCTATAGTGTACACAGAAACCTATCTGAAGGTGGTGTATTGATCCTGGAACCACCTAAGTTTTGTGTATTGATCCTGGAACCTACCTAAAAGAAGGGTACTGGTGCTGGAATCTATAGTGTACACAGGAACCTACCTGAAGGTGGTGTATTGATCCTGGAACCATCTAAGTGTTGTGTATTGATCCTGGAACTACTTAAATGTTGTGTATTGATCCTGGAATCTACCTAAAAGAAGTGTACTGGTGCTGGAATCTATAGCATACACAGGAACCTACCTGAAGGTGGTGTATTGATCTTAAAACCACCAAAAGTGTAGCACACAGGGGCCTGGAGGAACACCTACCTGAAGGTGGAGTACATAGCCTGGAAGTAGCCCATCTCTATGTCGTGCATGAGGATGCGAACCTCATAAGGTTGACGGTAGGTAAGGGCGTGAAGGGAGTCCAACCCGTACCACCATTCTCCCTCTCCAGGCATTCCGAACCCTGCCCGGTACTCTGACCACGTCCTGCGAGAAGTGAGAGAAGTGAGAGAGGAATAAGCTATATATATATATATATATATATATATATATATATATATATATATATATATATATATATATATTATATATATTATAATATATATATATATATATATATATATAATATATTCAATAAACGAGGAAGGCTCATCAAATTTATTGCGAGGCCGTAAAAAATAGAGCTTCATGTACAACAGATCGACGCAAACAGTAGGAAAGTTGAATATTTGATCAACGTTTTTACTTTAAAAAAGTTCTGAAATAGATGAAATGGTATTTAATATTCACGAAGGTGATGGTTAAATATTAAATCTGGATTTAATAAAGAGAGAGAGAGAGAGAGAGAGAGAGAGAGAGAGAGAGAGAGAGAGAGAGAGAGAGAGAGAGAGAGAGAGAGAGAGAGAGAGAGAGAGAGAGTGTGTGTGTGTGTGTAGTGAAATAAAATAGAACAGAACTTACCTGTTGAAGTCAATAAGGCCCCAAGTAGTATTCCGGCGCCTGAGAATCACGTTCCAGCCACCGGTGGCCTTAGCACTCTCTTGCCCCATGTCACACCAGGTAGAAACGGACGCCTGGAATTAAACAGATGGACCTGACAGACAAGTAACATACACCCGTGAAACTCTGCCTGAAGTCTAAATCATTTATTAACTTCATTGATTTTATATTTTTGTATTATTTATTAAAAATGCTCATGTCGTTTCGATAATGTTTTTCTTATCAGATCTAAAAAAAATCACAAATAAAACCATTAAGGGAAGATCCTTATTAGGTATCTAAATATATATATAATGCCAGAAATTGATCCAAATATTTCAAAATGCAAACATTGCTACAAATTCATGAAATGATTGTAAATTGAAATGTAATCCCAAGTCTACTCACTTTAAGTGATAGATTAACAATACATAAAAAAATAAGTATTTAATCACCTTACTTACAATAGAACTCGACACTGGGAACTTGCATATAAAACAAATAATTACCAAAGTGTGTATTAATTCGTATATATTTCTGCATAGTTCAGGGCTAAATTAAACTCTTACTGTATACTCACCGAGGAAGGGAATATATATATTTATATATATATATATATAATATATATATATAATATATATATATATATAATATATATTATATATATATATATATATATATATATATATATATATATATATATATATATATATATATATATATTTTATTAAATATGACCGAAAAAGTAAGATTAATAATTCTAACACGAATTTTCTCATCTTTCGTACATTATGCTTCACTGTTGGAGGTAAATCAAAATCACTTCTCCAAAATTCATTTTTATTTCTAGTCTGACGCGACACGGGCGCGTTTCGTAAAACTTATTACATTTTCAAAGACTTCACAAATACACAACTGATTAGAAACTTGCGTTTCCCTGATTTTATATCTACATTTGAGTGAGGTGGGAAGGGTGATGTGGCATTACATTTGAGTGAGGTGGGAAGGATGATGTGGCATTAGAGGATATTAATAGGGTATTAAAAATATCAACACAAGACAGAACACGAAACAATGGATATTGAATAGAAGTGTTTGTAGAAAGCCTATTGGTCCATATTTCTTGATGCTTCTATATTGGAGCGGAGTCTTGAGGTGGGTAGAATATAGTTGTGCAATAATTGGCTGTTGATTGCTGGTGTTGACTTCTTGATGTGTAGTGCACTACACATCAAGAAGTCAACACCAGCAATCAACAGCCAATTATTGCACAACTATATTCTACCCACCTCAAGACTCCGCTCCAATATAGAAGCATCAAGAAATATGGACCAATAGGCTTTCTACAAACACTTCTATTCAATATCCATTGTTTCGTGTTCTGTCTTGTGTTGATATTTTTAATACCCTATTAATATCCTCTAATGCCACATCATCCTTCCCACCTCACTCAAATGTAATGCCACATCACCCTTCCCACCTCACTCAAATGTAGATATAAAATCAGGGAAACGCAAGTTTCTAATCAGTTGTGTATTTGTGAAGTCTTTGAAAATGTAATAAGTTTTACGAAACGCGCCCGTGTCGCGTCAGACTAGAAATAAAAATGAATTTTGGAGAAGTGATTTTTGATTTACCTCCAACAGTGAAGCATAATGTACGAAAGATTGAGAAAATTCGTGTTAGAATTATTAATCTTACTTTTTCGGTCATATTTAATAAAATATGTCTACAGGAAAGACTGCTACCAAAATATACTAATATATATATATATATATATATATAATATATATATATATATATATATATATATATATATATATATATATATTATATATATATATATATATATATATATATATCTGGTCTGCTAATATTCACACGCAAGCCTTTCCATGTCAAACAGAACTCAGCAAAACATATTAAGATGATTATTTCATATTATATTACCAATATAACTTCATAGTGTTCCTATCAGGCTCAATTTAAATCAAACTACCTCCCCCCACCCCTACAAAAAAATATAAATACCTCTCGATGTTCAGAATATTAAACTGGGATACACAGGTTCCGATAAAGTATAAAAAAAAGCTACACAGACACCCAAAGCTCTCTACCTTCGGGTTCATGGTTGGGTAGGTGAGGAAGACCCCGCTGGGAACCTCAGGCTGCTGCCAGTGTAGGTCTGAACAGTCTCGAGGGAGAAAGGCTGAAGATTCACGCATTCTTCCTAAGGCTGACTTTAATTCCGCCATTGTCTGGAGGAGAAAATGCTGCTTCATCATCCATTTTGAAAATATTTGTGCATTGTAATGACGAGAGAGAGAGAGAGAGAGAGAGAGAGAGAGAGAGAGAGAGAGAGAGAGAGAGAGAGAGAGAGAGAGAGAGACAGACAGACAGACAGACAGACAGACAGACAGACAGACAGACAGACAGACAGACAGACAGACAGACAGACAGACAGACAGACAGACAGACATATAAACACACACGAATACATTCAGGCAAACATATAAATAGAAAAATACAGCAGCATAGAGCAGCATAAAAATAAAAAAAATAAAACTCACAGATAAAATCCGAGAGTCAGCAAACAATATTCAGGCTTCCGAGTTGAAAGTTTAAATGGGATTCGACCCGCTGCTTATTGTATTCGACTTAAAGCAATTGAAACTGAGAAATCTGCTCCAAGAACAAAGTTCGTTCAAGGGGAAACGAACAGTTAGACCTAACTATTCAGCACGTTTAAGTATAAAATAATATAACCTTATATTAGAGAACAAATTAATTTTGAAAATATATATATACGCAGTGCGTTGAAATTGACGAATGCGTCAATTTGGTTTCCCTGGACGAGCTAAGCTTGAGAACAGGTAGATTTTATGTTCAACTATTATCTCCTACAATAATAATTATCAATTAACAAACTTAAACGGTAGAAAAGTTAATTTGTTGGGTAGATTACTGTTGCAGGAGAATGTCATAAGTGGGTTGCTGTTCTGAACATCGGAAATAATATTATTAAGTGAACGGACGGAGCAATTAGCTGATTCCTTTCTGTGATTGGCTGTTATAGGGAATGTCAACAAAGCCTTTCAACCAATGAGATGCAAGCGCGGGAATACTCGCTTCAGCCCGACAACTCGCCTTTTGGGTTCCTGTTGGCCTGTCTATAGTGCAATGTTCTGCCAATAGATGGCATCAGCTGAATTTTATGGCCTGCTTCCGCGTGTCCATTTGATAGTGTAATTTCTTGCCAATAGATGGCATAAGCTCTATCTTATGGGCTGCTAACCTAAGCTGTTGATAGTCAATTTTTACGCCAACAGATGGCATCAGCTGTATTATTTACCTCAGAATTCCCGTTGAAAGCTGTACAAAACCCCCCCGAAGCTTAGGATAAGGTTGACCAGACCACACACTAGAAGATGAAATGACGACGACGTTTCGGTCCATTCTAGACCATTCTCAAGTCGATTGTGGACCATTCTCACAATCGACTTGAGAATGGTCCAGGACGGACCGAAGCGTCGTCGTCCCTTCACCTTCTAGTGTGTGGTCTGGTCAACTTACTTTAGCCACGTTATCGCCTGCTTAGGATAAGGTGTTATACCTTACTGATATTAGGTACCTGCCAGAGGCCAGATTCACGAAAGCACTTACGCAAGCACTTACGAATCTGAACATCTTTCCTCAATCTTTGGCGGCTTTGTTTACAATTATTAAACAGTTAATGAGCTCCGAAGCTCCAGGAGGCTGTTTATAACAATAACAACAGTTGATTGGCAAGTTTTCATGCTTGTAAACTGTTTAATAAATGTAACCCAAGCCGTCAAAGATTGAGGAAAGATGTACACGTTCGTAACTGCTTGCGTAAGTGCTTTCGTGAATCTGGCCCCTGGAACTTGCAAATATTGTATACAATCTTGTGAATATCACCATTATACATTCTTTCATATTTTATGATTGAAGAACACCTAATTACTTTGGTGAAAAATTTCATAACAATCGTCTTTAATGCAAATTACAAATCCATATAACATGAATATTAGTAAGGGTTTATACCCATTTTTAACTGATCAATTAGAAAATGGTCTTAACAAGAGGATTACTTGACAACTGTTCTCGTAGGGACAGCACGTACAAGAACTGTAGCGTTAATGGGTAGAGGAAGGGGTGTGAGACGAAGGGGACATGGGGGGGGGAGGGAGGGAGAACATTGGGGGTATAAACAGGGGGTGAGGGGCCAAGGAGTGGGTTAAGAGGGGGAAATATACCCTGATGCAACCTGGAACCCCTTTTATATTCATATATAAATGAAAGTGTCTGTCTGATCGAGGTTGTAGGGGAGAGAGAGGGGGGGGGGGTGGAAGATGGTAAGGAGATGGGGGTGAGGGGGGAGAAGGTGAAAATGGGGAGATTAAAGAGAATAGGGGTAGAGCAAAAATGGGTGAGGGGGAAAGGGGGGGGGTGAGAGGGAAAGAAGATTGGGGAAGAGAGAGGGATTTTGGGAGAGAGGAAAATAAGAGGGGGTGTGTAGTGAGTGGTGCGGGAGAGAGACAGACAGACAGACTATCCTGTCTGTTTCTCCCTGTCTTTGTTTATGTATCCCTATCTGCTCTATGTGTCTCTGCGTTTCTAAGTCTGTCTCTGCTTTTCTCTCTCTCTGCCTGATTCCCTCCACGATTAAACTTTTTCCAAACGCAATTAAAAACTCACAGATCATCACCTCTGCATCAAGGAAGGTTTCAGGATCCTGAGAACAGTTCTCACTCTGGGGCTCACGGGTAGAGCTCTGAACATTGAGCACCTCGGCCACTCTATCCACCAGCACAGTGCAGTTGACGAGACCGGCCGCCACCGCTGCCCCGCCGTCAAGTTTCGTCAGGTGGGTGTTGACGGCCGCCAGGGTGTCACTGCTGGAATTGACGACTGCAGAGAGGTCGTGTAGTCTCTCTCTCACGCTCTCGTCAACTGTCGCCAACTTATCGTCAATTTCCTCGATGATTTCTAATCTTAAATCGTCAATTGCATGCTCGAACTTGTCCTCTAAAGCTGAGAGTTTCATGCTGAGGTCCTTGCTGTCTCGTCGGGCGCTGGAGAAATGATTCTGCATCTGGGTTTGGACGGCTTTCGTGATCTCCTGTGTGATGCTCTCCAAGCGCTCCCAGATGGGCTGGAGCGGGTCCTCTGGGAGCGTCATCAGGTAATCTGGATGTTGGCTGACGGCCGCTGGAGTGTTGGGTGTCCACAGCATCCACGCCATCATCCACGTCATCTCCCACGCCATCCGTATCGCCATGGGGATGCTGGCGTTAGGTCAATAGCTTTATATACTACTTTCGGGTAAAATATAAGAATCGCATTTTCAGTATTAGCAAAAATATATCCAGAAATATCCACCAACGTCGCTCGAAACGTCGATATCAACCACTGGTTTTTTTTCCCCTTCCTCGCACCGGTTACAGAAATATACTAATTGCCCAATTAAAGAGCAATTAACGTCTCAATCAACTGGCAGCGCCGAAAGAGTCGTTTCTATGGTCGCGACTCGATCAACTCCCGGGTCGTTTCAGGCCCCGACTGCTATATGAACTCAAGTTTCCTTTGAACCAATTATTTTCGAGATTGATGTCGGAAGTAGGAGAATATTACTGCTGCTCCTCCTGCCAGCCTCCGCCAACGCTCACCCACAACTGGGAAACCTCTCCGGCCAGGCCTTGCCGTAATGAAGGAAGTGTATATTTATTTTTTGTAGGGGGGTGGGGGTTCGAGCATGAGTCGGAACAGACGCCGGACGGCGTTGTCTACAACAACGGATGCTGTGGCTCGTCCCTGTCACGTGTTTCCTGTGTTGAGGGCGGCACTTGTTGCCTGTCTTAGTGGCGGGTGTTTTACTGTTACTGCTGCAGACTGTGTTCTATGTGAGAGAGAGAGAGAGAGAGAGAGAGAGAGAGAGAGAGAGAGAGAGAGAGAGAGAGAGAGAGAGAGAGAGAGAGAGAGAGAGAGATATTACAGAGACAGAGAGAGAGAGAGTGAGAGACAGATTACAGAGACAGAGACAGAGGGAGAGACACACACACAAATAATGAGTGAAAAACTATATAGCCAGTATGTACAACAATATACATCATATAGCCTAAAAAAAAAAACCCCACGAACAGTATTCCATCTTTCCTACAAGCCTCCCATATCCCACTCCATACTGACGCAGATACAAGAAATAACCAAGAATCTAAACAGACACCATTACCACACTCCTCATCTCACCTGTCACAGGTGTGTGCGACAAAGCAATCAACGAGACTCACGCTTGGTGGGACTCTCCAGGTCGGCGGAGCCCAGGTAATCAGACCTTTCAAGACGGACCAAAGAAGTGGAAAGATAAGTCACAGACAGCTTCTGCCATCAGACGAGGGTTAGCTGACTTTAGCGGATTTATCGCTGCTTGTGAGGAAAAAAATATTGGGGGTAAATACAATATGATCTATTCCCTCTATAATACACATTTGCCTCAATAATGCTGTTGTTGTTGTTGTAGTTGTATTGGGCATTATTAGTGATATTATTCTTACTATTATTTATGAAGTATTATCCTGTATATAAAAGTTCTTGTTATCACTCATTGAGTCATATATATATATATATATATATATATATATATATATATATATATATATATATATATATATATATATATATATATATATATATAGATATATATCGTTGCATGGAACAGGCAATATAGATTGATGGAGAATGAGAGACGTAGATTGTCAGATGAACAGACACAGAGATAGTCAGATACAGAAGTAAACAGACAATATATATATATATAATATATATATATATATATATATCTATATATATATATATATATATATATATATATATATATATATATATATATATATATATATTTGCCTACAGCTGTGTCTATCAATCCTTCTATAACTCGAAAACTTATCAACGTGCTAAATAGCCAACATAAAACACCCTAACCTCCGCCTGGGTATTCGAAAAGACAGTTTAATTAAACGAATTTCCATACTATACATTCCAGCTTCCTCCTGAAACCGCTCAGTCAATCATACTTGATTAAAACATATACACACATACAATCTGACGAAGGAAATCAGGTCTGTATATGAACATACAGTTATCCTCCTCGCAGACAGCCATAACCCTGTACCATCGTAACAAATCCAGACGGTAAGGCGAGTTTCACTTCCTTCCAATCAGGAAACTCAGCCCTGTCAGTTGAGGCAGTAAAGGTAAAGTATCGACTCCAATTCGATATGTGAGGGGTTTAAAATGCGCTGTTATTAGCACTAAATATCTCGCCCCGCGATAGAAATGGCGTTGGAATTCTGTCAACATGCTCGGGTTTACTGAGACCGGTGTTACTCACTGAGTGTATTATCGTACACAGGGGAGTTTGGTCTGTGAGGGCACACAGAAGGTCTCTTATTGCTCACAGAGTGTTATCGTTCACAGGGGGGTGCCTGTTATCGGTCACAGAGGGTCTGTTATCGCTCATAGAGGGTCTGTTATCGCTCATAGAGGGTCTGTTATCGCTCATAGAGGGTCTGTTATCGCTCACAGAGGGTCTGTTATCGCTCACAGAGGGTCTGTTATCGCTCACAGAGTGTCTGTTATCGCTCACAGTGTCTGTTATCACTCACATAGTGTCTGTTATCGCTCACAGAGGGTCTGTTATCGCTCACAGAGGGTCTGTTATCGCTCACGATGTGTCCGGGAATCTAATATCTCACAGACAGGTCTGGAAATCCGACATCGTTTCCCGCGTCTGAACAGTTTTGTCAATTTTGATGGAAATTAATCCCTTAATTATGCTTAACATTTCCAGGTCAGGATTTACTAAACGAAACCTGTTCATCTTTCCTTTATTCAGTCGGCTTTGTTTATATTATGTAGTGTGCCAGGTTTGAAGCTTCACAACCAAAGGTTATTATTATTATTAATAACCTCGTAGTGCTTTGGCGCTCATAAATAACTTAATAAATGTAAACACAGCCGCTATGGTTGAAGAAAGATCTACAGGTTTCGTCTGTGGCAGCGTAAAGGCCCAGGTATTGACTAGAGGTTGACATATATTTGGCATGAGAAAACATCAGTTTGCTGGGAGTCACAGTTGTTCCTCTGAGTTCTTTCAGTGGCTGAAGTTTGTCACACATATATTACGTCAAATGTCCATACCCACCCGCCAAACACACACCGAAACTACGACGTTAGTACAACGTTCGAACAAGTTTTAACACCTAACCAGTTATAACAACCAATATAACAATTTGTAACAACGTTCTAATACGTCATAAACACGTTAAGCCAAGATGTAACAACTTTATTACACGTTGTAACAAGCAGAAAATAGAGACAGTTACAGCTTGTGTTTCCAGGGATATATAGGTACTGTAAGGTATTAATTACATTAGGGAGTAACTAGGGAGGGGGGCCTCGTAGCCTGGTGGATAGCGCGCAGGACTCGTAATTCTGTGGCGCGGGTTCGATTCCCGCACGAGGCAGAAACAAATGGGCAAAGTTTCTTTCACCCTATGCCCCTGTTACCTAGCAGTAAATAGGTACCTGGGTGTTAGTTAGCTGTCACGGGCTGCTTCCTGGGGGTGGAGGCCTGGTCGAGGACCGGGCCGCGGGGACACTAAAACCCCGAAATCATCTCAAGATAACTTTGGAAGATTTAGAGACATATCCACAAATCAGTTTTCAGTTTGTATTTACTAACAGTAACATCACTGGAAGCTATTTATAACGAAGAGATCCACTACCCTTTGAACTCTTATCTGGTGATGTTTACCTGCTTAAATGTTCGAACTGTGACGTTCGATATGTGGGGAAATACTTCACGAAACTTTAAAACACCGTATTTGTGAACATAAGGTTCACACACATCCTCTTTATCCTCTTAGCGTACTGCCTCTTGGCCTCTTAGGCAATGTACGTCCGCTGCTGTTAGAGATCACAGCCAGGATAACGCCCTTTCACATACACCGATTTTTGCTGTTCCGTGTTGTAGTTTGTCTCGCGTTGAACTCAATATTTTGGAGAGTATTTCGACATTTATAATGAAACTTGAGTTGAACAGCTCCGTGTCGTCGACTCAGTGTTTCCGCCCGTCCCTCGCACACACACACATATATATATATATGTGTGTGTGCGCATATATATATATATATATATATATATTATATATATATATATATATATATATATATATATATATTTATTATATATATATATATATATATATATATATATAGCCCATAAGCAATCCGCGCTGGATCGCCCCATTGCCGACCAAGAAGCTGCAACTTGCTAGAAGCTGCGACGACACCACATGACACTGCCCGACTTAGAGCTGTAGCAGCTCCCCATGCAGTTGATTTCCTATTAGCAACCCCAATGTCAGCAACCGGCACCCCGCTCACACCGCAGGCCCTCCGAATTGCCGTGGCTCTTCGCCTAGCTGCCCCAATCCACACCGAATACAGGTGTATTTGCGGCGAGGCAGAGGCCGACAGATATGGACGGCATGGCCTTCTTTGCCAAAGGACCGGAGGATGGCATGCAAGACACGCGAGGTTAATGACATTATTAAGAGAAGCCTTACCACAGCCGGTTGTCCAGCGAGAGAGAGCCCCGTTACCTAATGTCCCCGCAACTCTGATGAGCCTGTCGGTCGCCCAGACGGAATTACGGTGAACCCCTGGAAGAATGGTAGACGTTGGTGTGGTACTACACTTGCGTTTCAACTTTAGCCAATACCTATGTTGACTGCAGTGCTACACAAGCAGGAGGCAGCTGCCAATCACCGGGAAGCGGCTAAGTCACGTAAATACAGAGACCTTGAGCAACCACTACAATTTTGTCCCCTTGCCTCAGAGACGCTTGGTGCCTGGGGTAAAAGTGCTGCTAGCTTTTTTAAAGGAGTTGGGGTCTAAGCTAATCGAAACAACTAGAGACCCCAGAGCTGCCAGTTTTCTTTTTCAGCGCCTTAGTGTGGCAATCCAGAGAGGAAATGCTCACTGCATCCATGTTTCGTGCCCGCCATCTGAGGAGCTGGAGGAGCTATTCACAACTTATGACCAAGCAGCCTTGTACCCTGTATGTAATCAATATTGTAACTTTTTTTGGTGTAATGACATTTTCAAATAAAGTTAGATAAATATACACACTTAACAACAGAATAGGGGTGGTAGGAGAAGAAAATATCAAAGTGTTCAGTGAGGATCCAAAAGGTCTTCTCTGAGTACTCTTTATTTTCTTCTCTGAGGCTATGGGTCCTACATTTGCACCATAGGTGGTACCCCTTCTAGGTTTAAAAAAAAAAAAAAAAAAAAAAAAAAAAAAAAAAAAAAAAAAATATATATATATATATATATAATATATATTATATATATATTAATATATATATATATTATATATATAAATATATAAATATTAGTTTTTAGTCATATTGCTCGTCAACATTTTTAAATAAAACATTAACGTGTCATTGTGCCATAGGATAATTTTTGTACTGATTAATTATTGGAAAGTTTACATTCTTTGGCCTATTTTGTAATTTATATCATTATTAATATAGTGTATAAAGGCAGAAATAAGGATAAACAAATGAAAGAATTTTTTTCCATGTATTTAGTTTTAATGCACTAAATCA